CTTCTATATCCTTCTCCTCTTTTAAAACTTGCTGTATTTGTCTTTTTCTCCAGTTTCTCTGAGGATTCAAACTTCCTTGAAAAATTCAAGGAAGTGTGAATTCCTCTCCTCTGAAATTCCTCTCCTCTGAAATACTCACTATCATAGGCATGCGCACGGGGTGTGCTGGGTGTGCCTAGGCACACTGTGTGCTGGGTGTGCCTAGGCACACTAGGCACACTGGGTGTGCCTAGGCACACTGTAATCACTCTGAGTGCAATACCGAGACCGCAACAGCAGGCGCCGTGTTTTTAATTACTGCGCTGGTGGTAGGGTTTCCACCTGCCTGGGATTCACATGGACAGTTCCGATTTTGAGTCCTGTATATGCTGTGTCTATGTTTCAGGCCAGCTGAAACCCCAACAAAAGATGTTACGAGGTCAGGTGGACAGCAGCAACCACAGGGTCCACTGGCCCTGCTCCAGGGACGGAACTACCGGCAGTGCGGCCGGTGCCGCCTCCCCGGGGCCAACGGCTGTGTGGGAGGCCCACTGAGTGGTGGTGAGGGGACATCGCGCAGTGACAAGCAGGCCGGGCGGCGAACACAACATTGGCAGCTAATAGGGCAGCCGTGGGGCTTCAGGCATGAGGACCCAGCGAGCAGCTGTTGCCTGACATTGCAGAGGGAGACCAGCGGCGCGTCTGATTGCTCGGTGAGTTTATTTTCTTTTTCACAGCTTCTCCCCCTCCCCTGCTTCCTCCAGCTGTGTGAATTGACACCAGCCAGCAGGACATTATCAGACAGAAAAAATCTTGCACCAGGGCCCTTTGTTCCTTAGGTCCGCCACTGCCCTGCTCGTATGTAGCCGCGCTTTGTGCACACTATGGGTGTGACTGGGCTCTGAAGGTTCGTATAACATTTCGAATCTCTCTCTCTCCATCCTAAACATACAATACAATTTACTGCATGTGCAATGCTACATTTATACACTCAGAGCCAGGATTGTGGGGGGAGGAAACATTGTGAGTGTTGTTTTTTTTATATCACCTTTAATGTCCCTCATGCCAAAAAAAACATGAATCTCAGCAAACAATTTCAGACACTTTGTGCTTTGGCCCATTTACCGAGTTCTGCATTATATGGCCATGAATCAGGAACACAAGATGTCGCTTCTCGCTATCTCTCCTCACTCTCTCTCCTGGCCGTCTCTCCTCGCTCTCTCCCCTGCTGTCTCTCCGGAATCTCTCTCCTGGATATCTCTCCTCTCTCTCCTGGCTGTCTCTCTTTGCTTCCCCCTGACTGTCTCTCCTTGCTCATCCTCCTGGCTGTCTCACCTGGCTGTCTCTCCTCATTCCCTCTCCTCACTCTCTCCTTTTTCTCTCCTCACTCTCTCTCCTGGTTGTCTCTCCTCACTCTCTCTCTTGGCTGTCTCTCCTCTCTCCTTTTCAGCGCTATCTCTCCTCATTATCTCCCTATCCTGGCTGTCCCTTGTCTCTCTCCACTGGCTGTCTCTTCTCGCGCTCTCTCCTGGCTGTTTCTCCTTGCTCTCTTCCCTGACTGTCATTCCTCACTTTCATTCGTCTGGCTGTCTCCCCTTGCTTATCACCCTGGCTGTCTTTACTGGCTGTCACTCCTTGTGCTCTCCCCTGGCTGTCTCTCCTCTCTCTCTCCTGGCTGCCTCTCCTCGCACACTCTCCCCTGGCTGTCTCGTTTCAAGGTCACATGTCGGCTCTAACTATGAGGATGAGTTTAAATCACTCACCTCATAGTCCTACTTTAACACTACACAACCCTCTCTTCCAGTGCTCATCAACTCTTTTCTACCTTCAACTTGTTACTTTGTTCATCACTGCCTCCATCCACTTTCTCATTCATGTCCCTGGAGATTGTCAATCATTTCAAAAACAAGATGATACAATTCCTGATGAGTTGTCCATTGTCTAGACATATCCTCTATCTAACATACCATGTCTACCACCACATTTTAATACTTTCTTCGTTTGACCATGTTACCACAGAGGGGGTTGCTAAACTTTTTTCTGATGACCACTTAACCACCTGCACCCTCGACACTGTTCCCTCACAACTTCCCCGGTCACTGTCCTGCTCTTTTCTATGCTCTCTAACCCACATCCTCATTCTCTCTTCCTCTAAAACATCCACTGGTCACTCCACCCCCCCTTGCTGGACCCCACCAGTCTGAATCTGAATAACTAACCCATATTCTTGCCCCCCCTTACCTCCAATTTCTAGAACGCTTAGTTTATAACCTTTTTATTAACCACCTTACTGACAACAACCTTCTCAATCCCTTAGTCCCTGTTCACACGTGGGCGTTTTGACGCTTAAAGCTATGCGTGACAAAACCCACAACACAAGAAATCCTATTCATTTCTATGGCCCTTGTTCACACCTGAGAGTTTTGTCACAAGCTTTAAAACCTCAAATGCTGGAAAAGGTACATGAGCTTTTTTTCGGGCAGATTACAGTGTGCATGGCTGCATAGACTTCAATAGAAGCGCATTAAAACGTGAGACACAAGCGTTTTGTACATTTCTGTCCACGTTTTTACGCGTTTGTGCACAGGTTTGCTCATTCGTCGCAATGCATTTCAATCTGCTCAATAAAATGTGTGTCTTTGTGTATGTGCGTCAAACATGTGCAAAAATGTTCAAAACTGCAAAAGGGAAAACGCACATAAAATGCACATAAAAACCTCACAGAAACACTGACGCCTAGGCGTGAATGGAGACTTACAGTCTGACTTTTGCCAGCAACACTAGACAGAAACTACTCTCCTAAAACTCAAACCTTTCTGCTGCCTTCAATGCAGTTGACCCCCAAAACTCCACTCCCTTGGCCTCCAAGACTCTGCTCTTTCCAGGTTCACCTCCTACCTATCTCAGCACACCTTCAGTGTCACCCACAACTCAGCAGTGGCGTAACAACCGGGGGGGTTGGGGGGGCGCTTGCCCCGGGCGCAGGACGGAGGGGGGGCGCCGTCACCGACCCCCGCTAAATGAAGCCCCTGGCCGCAGATGCAGTGGCTCCCTCTCTCTGCCACATGCACCCGGCTCTGCACCCCTCTCTCTGCCACATGCACTCCTCTTCATTTTATCACATTTAACACTCTGTTCCATACATTTGCTGCATCTTGGACAACCTACAAATAAGGCTTTTAAACCTAAAATCCCTATTTTACCTCCCCTCCTTTTGCCAAAGGAGTATACAAATATTAATGTATAGCGAATGTGTCTGATAGTCATGTATTATCTATAAACACTTACCAAACCTTGTGGGTTGGATTTCAGAATTATTAGACAGAAAAACAATCTTTTTCATTTTGTGCAGTCTTTGAAATTCATCTGGTAAATGATCCAAAACTTCTGGGTTTTCAGGAAGGTCAATAAATACTTCAGTCAATTCAGGAAATTTGTGAATGCCACGAATTAGTATCTCTGAAAATGCATAAAATAATAATAATATTAATAATAATAATACTTTTTTATTTAGAAGACCAAAATAAAAAATTGCTACCATACTAGGATCTAAGAAGAGAATAATTTTTCTCAAAATTTAATTAAAGCCATACAAAGGCAAATAACAACAGACGTATAATTAAAAAACAAACAAACACACACAAAGAGGCGTATCTACCACAAGGCAAAGTAGGCATTTTACCTTGGGTGGCAATTTCCATAGGGGCGGCAAAAAAATGCTGCCCCCAAACTTGTGAGGCAGAGCCTCATCTGCCATTAAGAGAAAAAAATATATAATCAATCGAATTTATCGATGAGCTCAGCCTCCTCTCTCTGACGCTAACAGAAGTGATACAGCGCGCACCTGTTACTATTTAAACAGGTGCGCACTGTATACAGCTTCTGACAGGATTAATACAACCTGTCAGAGGGGCATGGCTGCGGTGCCATTGACTTGAACGCACTGCCACACTCCCTGCCTCTCCAGAACGCAGGGAGGCGGCCAGGATGCGATACAGTGCGTTTCAGCAGCTAACCACTCTGGAACGCACTGTAACTGGTGTGAACAAGCCCAAAGCTGTCTTGCCTTGCCATTAAATACTTTTTTGTGTTTTTGTCATGCTTTTAGTGTTTTAATAAAAATGCCTTTTTTGCTTGCTACATTTAAGACGTTCATTACACAGAAATCCCCACAAAGAACACATTGTATGCACTCTGCTGCATTTCTGTAAGTCTTAGTAATGCAAGAGAGAAAAAATCCTCACTGTATTTTCTTTTAGTAGAAGGCATTTCTAACTAGTGGCGAGTCTTTGCCTCACACTCTGGTCTGGGTAATTGCCTTTGCCCCCCACCTTGTATGCACTCTAGCCCCCAATATGTGTTTGTGCTGTCAATGATCTGCTGATTTGGCAACTGGTGGCCCATCCTAAACATGCCCATGACCCAACCTGAGTCCCAACTGATAATTTTAGATACACTGATCTACAGTTGGGTTGGGACAGTAGAGTAGTGAAAATAAATAAGATGGATTGTCCATCCATATTCTATGTATAATACACTGTTCTAGTGGAGTAATGTCAACTGGACTTGCAGTATATTTAAGAAGACAGTGATGGACTTCCTATGCTCTAAATAAAGTATATCTAAAGCCAAAAGTTTTTTAAACATTTTGGATAGAATAGGGAATGGATAAAACCAGTTGTTTTGTGTCTAATTTCACTTCCTATCTTTACAGAACAGAAAGTAAGAAGAAGTCTTTCCAACAGTCCCTCATCCTCTGGGACTATGGGCGTTGTTAATTGGAGCACTGTGCAGAGGGCATGTTGGACTGCTGGAGATCCTAATTTCTGTGCTGTCAAAAAGCGGTCTGGATCTCCATCATGCTTCTGGCACAGGTAGTTTTAAGCAAGGCTGCAGTACACTAGTACATTAAAATATCCTTAATTGTAAATGCAACCTGACTGCACTAATTATACAGACACTGGATGTGTATGCAGGTTTGCAATAGTAATCATGAATAGAAGAGTGAAGGACAGCCATACCGGGATAAAAAGAACTGAGAGAGTTTCCAATCTCCAAGGATTTCAGAGAAGACATCTCAAGTACCAAATCTTGTTCTTCTGCAGTCAGATATGTGTTATTAAAGCTCAGTACCTTAATAGAACGCAATAACTGCTCAATTGCCGGGCCAATGTGCTTTACAAAATCTCCACAGTTTTTCAGAATTAGCTCAATATGATTAGACATTGAGAAAAGAACAAAGAGCTTCTGAAATTCATCTGAAGAAAAGTTGTCACTGTTGATATCGTTTGCTATCAACCTGAACGTAGGCACTTTTTGCCCCCCAAGCACCAAAAAAGGACGAATAATTGCATCATTAATTTCAATTCTTTGGGGGTAAAGTGAAAAAAATTGATTCAGGACACCCATCTTCCTATCAATCTGGCTTTTTCGTTCATGGAAACACAGATAAGTAGATGAATAGTCGCTTTCCACTGTAGGAGCTCCATATGCTGCGAATCCTTTAAATTCTGAGACATCTAGTTGTCTGAATTGTTCACCTAAGTTATACATGATAAAATCAAAAGATTTCAGTACACTAATACTTTCTGGGAATTTTTCTATGAAAGTCAGGATACTCCTTGAAGGATTAAACACAGACCTTATAGAGAAGGTGGCTGTTTTCCCAGCAAGAAATTGTATGATCACAGGAGCACACACAGGAAGACCCTGGCATGCAGAGGCTGCTTCAACAGCAAATGTCATCAGTCGATCCATGCACACTGAAGAAACACTTACTTCGATCTGTTGGCGTAGGCTCAGAATAAACTTCTCTTCTTCCACTTCAAGCTCTGGATGTTGCTTTAAATGATCTCTGTTTTCTAAATGGCAATCTAGTGACTCAGGATTGCCATACAGGCTAAATAAGAAGGATAACATCTTTACTGTTGCCACGGCAGAGATGCTACCGGCGTATTTCATGAAATAGCTGTAAGGCCCTATAAGTTTGAGGAAAGTATTTACTTGGTGAAGGTAGTAGAGACCTTTCTCCAGATCTTCTGGTGTTTCAGATTCTAATAGTTCACTCAGCCTCTTTCCTGCAAGAAATTCCTGGAATGATGAATCAAAAAACCTATAGATGGACTTAAGCCTTTGTGCTGTGAATTTGCCCAAAAGTCCATATTTTATGGCTCTGTCACTATCTACTCCAGCTGCTCTCAAGTCATTGTCTGTGAACTGAAAACGTGATTGAAAAAGACCCCTGAGGGCCAGTTCTCCGCACGACAACATTTGTGACATTACCGCTTCTGTCTCAGAAGGAAATTTAAGCATGCTGTATTTTATGGATGTTTTAAAAAGATTAATGTCACTAAATGTACTGCCGGTAGGGTTTTGATGTCGCGAAGAACAATGAGTTAGGATCATTAGAGGGGTTTGCAAAATAGTGATCAAGTTTTCACAAACCTGTAGCTTCATTGTAAATTCTTTGACATATTCAATGTCATGTGGAAATATGTTCTTTACTAAGTAAACAGTGCTGTATAGGGAGAAATTTCCAATACACATTTTAGTTCTTGCATATTGTCGCACCTTCCATGACTTGCTAGTGTTCACTGTGACTGTTAATGCCACTCGGTTCCAGGGGTTCTTCTGCATAAGATCCTCTAATGCTGTAGGAGTCGAATCCATCATGCCATAGTCATCCAGAAGGAACAACACCTTCTCCATGAAATGCTTTACAATATCACCAAATATGTCTTCAGTGAGAAATTCGGTGGATCCAATTAGCTGCTGGCAGATGATGTCACTTATAGATTGTTGCCTCTGAGTGGAAGAGAGTGAAATATAAAACACAAGGCTGAACCTGTTGAGCATAGGACATTCCCTTGAGGCCCAGAGAATGGCAATCTTCTTGAGCAGTGCCGTCTTCCCACTGCCAGCCTCTCCTTCTATCATAGTGATGTCCCTCAGCTCTGACAGGATGTCTGGTAAAATGAGTTGTCTCAGTGGCTGATTTCTGGTGTCCTTTACCACAATGGAGATATCGGCAAAAAGCACGTTCAGATCTATGGAAATAGAATCTCCGAATGGGGATACTTTATGGAAAGTGGCATCAGTGTACTTTTCAATGAGCTGCTGTTTTAACATTGTCACGTTTTCAAAAAGCAGAACCTGTCCATGTGTGGTTCCTATGGGTTAAAAAAGGCATATTAAATATTTGGATTATTTATTGAATGTATTCATTTCATCTGTTCCTACATGTTCCTATGAAGAAGCAGTTCATGGATACGGGGCTTTCATCAAACAGGAAATGAGGAGACATCTCTTCAGCAACACAGACAGAAAAAAAAAGATTTTCTTGTGGACTAGGGGAAGGCAAGAACCCGTCAGCTTTGTATTTGTCTACTTCCCTGTTGCAGATTTTTTACTCAGTTCCTGTCTGATGAAACCATTGTCACTGTGACAGTAAGTGAGGGAAAATCTCTCTAATGAAGTCCCAGATGACAGTTATAAACCTGGTTCTGATCCTTCCCCACGTTATCCAAAAAAAAAAGAAGCTAGGCATACACTTTGGTTGATATGTGTGCCAAACACTGATAAAAATAAAAATGTGATATTTTTTTTTTTAGTAGAGTAGGGGAAGACGAGAACCACCCTGTCCGATTTTTTTTTTATTTCGGTTTCAGTGTTTTTATAAAATTTTCAAGAGAAACAAATATTACCAATATAAAGCATAACAGCAGTCACAAAATATGAACTGGTGAAGTGCAACTAAGGAATGCCTAGTAACTTGAGCCAAAGGACTCCTACATTTACAGTATGAACACAATAAAAGCTATGGGTCAATATTTCTAAATCTGGAATTAGTAGTGGATAATTTTTTTCCAATGATAACATAAGTACATTATGGCAAAGTTACCATCATCAAAATAAACATCAAATCAAAAAGCTGGGGAAAAAAAGGTCCTATGTTAAAATACACAAGAAATTAATTAATAAATGAGAGTATCTATCCTCAAGACTAAACTGATTAAATAAGTATGGCCTAACAGACCCTAACAGCTAAATGTGTACAACAGGTGTTCAGGTATAAAGGCAGTACTAAGGTGAGTTATGAAAAGAGATCAACAAAGCAAGGAAAAATGTAGAGCAGGAAGAAAAGGTTGTGAAGAGGAGTACCAAATTGAGAATTGAGGCTAGAAGAAAGAAGAGAATAGAAGAAGTTTGGTGGAATAGTTTGCCGGTAAATCTGACGACCTACAGTGAAGGGTCTAGATCAGGCAATTATGTCCCCCCCCTTCCTGAGCATCATAAGGTATGTACATGATAGTAGTATCAACCCTTTTTTTGACCATTGAGTAGGGAATAAATAGTTTTTTCCAGCTGAAGGCGATATTCAATTGAGAAGGATACCAGCAGGATATAATGCATTAGAGATTGCTGGATAACCCCAACACTGTGCCATGCAAAAGTGCTGTGCAGGGGGGTTTTAGGAATGTTTTAATTAAACAACATTTTTATTAGCCTAAAAACCTTAGACCAAAAGGAAGAAGCAAATGGACAGATCCACCACGTGTGTACCCTATCACCCTTGGAAGATTTTTTTTATTTCTGCCTGTTTTCCTGATACAGATTTCCCCCTACTTACTGTTTGGTGAAACAGCAGGACAGAGATTAAGGGGAAATCTAAGTAATGATAGTAATGATGTTTGCATCTTCCCCCGCTCTTTCCAAAACTATACGAAAAATTTTTCGACTTGCCATAAACTTTAACACAAACTGGCAAATTATGTTTACCTGCCCAACTTACTTGGTAATGATAGCGTTTTGTGGTCCAGAAAATCCGTGAATGTTTCTACCTAAAAAATGCATAATATTTTTGAGAATACTATGAAATGATGATGAATTATTGCTGGAGTATAAACAGTTGGAATTTATATAATTAAGAGAAATTTAAAAAGTGATCATGGTGATTACTATTAATACTAATCATTGTTATAAGGTCATCATCTTCCATGGCATTGTACAATGTAAGAGATACATAGAAGTGTGGATAATGGAGATAATATAAAATGATCAGTGTTCTATGCCACACTCCTTACAGCCATTAGGACCAAAACTAAGAAGTAGTGTTTGTAGTGTCAACGAATTGTGCCATGCAGAGAAACCATAAATTGAAGAGAGGTTACCAGTACTCCATAAGTGTGAAATAACTCACTTGGATTTCTTCACAATGCATTACATGAAATACATAGTCCCAATGTTTCAGGACCACACAGGGTATCTTCCTCAGGGTAACATAGTGACTATGGAGTGCTGGTTACTTTTCTTCAATTTAGGGAGATAATAAAAACATTACAATGAAAAGTGCATGCAGTTGTATAACCAAAATCTATATATCAATAATAAGACACAATAAAAAGAAGAGCTCTAACCATACAAACGCAAAGTTTAGAGAGATAAGGAATACAAATTTGCTTGCACATATTTACAGAATCCCTTGGTTAAAGTGACCCTGTTGCACCTGCAAAAATAACGCATATACTTACCTTCCAATGGCCCGTTTCTTGAAAAGTTATCACTTCACTGCTCACCTCTGCAAGTATTTGACTGGTCAGATGGATGGAATGCCTGTTTACCCTCCCACCTGTTGTTGTTAATTCAACTGGCTTGTACACCCTGTAGTGACGTGTATGCCAGCATGAGAAACCACAGCGAGTAGTAGGGGAGCTTATGATTAATACATTCAGAAGTTTGTTAATATCTTATTAGGACAGTAAGCCGTGAAGTGGTGGCTTTTCAAGAAATTAGCCTCCCGAAAGGAAAGCATGTGCACCCTTCTTTTTGCAGGTATGTTTTATAATCAAGTGTTCCAGTGCTGAGAGGGCTACTTTAAAGTTCTACCAATCATCTCCAGTGAAATTTGCTGAGTTGGTAGAGAATGATCATTGCTCACAGCTCCATCTAGACATCTGGCACCACAACATCTTATGGAATTCTCCACCAATTACTGCAGTGCTGCCTCACATCTGAAAGGGATGCAAGGGATATTCCAATGAGACCAATGGGTCCTACACCTAAACCTGAAAGTAGCAGCATGAGCAAGTTCAAGTTCACTGTGTTAGATATTCACATGGATTTATCAGATTATTATGATTATTATTATTATTAGTTTTCAGGATTTATATAGCGCCAAAAGTTTGCACAGAGCTTTACAATATAAGGAAGTTACAATATAATTACAGTTACAGTTACAATACAATTACCAATAAGAAGGCTAGGAGGTCCCTGCCCGTGACAGATTTCCCAGGGTTTCTTACCCTTCCTCCTTCAGTTGGCTGCAGCATGGCTTGTTTGCAGTGTGTCTAACACTGTTTGTTCCTCTTTGACGCCCTTTTAATACGTAAACATCAATGTAGCGTCCCCCTTTCTCGGTCAGTTAAAACCCCAGTGCAGGATAACACTACCGTTGGCTCCAAAGGTGTGATCTACAGTAAAAGAACTAACGGGTCTCCCTGTATTTCCTCTGTAGCAAACCTCTATAATGGATCCACAGCACACCAGCACACCTTGAAAGCTATGGGCTACAGCAACTCCGAAATCTTCTTGTCTAGAGATAATTTCACTCACTTTGCCTCACATCTTTTTCACTCACATCAGCACTTACTGCCCTTTGTGGGGATCATTAAAGCGGTGTGCAGACTGTAGATATGATGCTAAGAACCTTTATTGTTGAACTTCAGGGAGAGAGGAGGAGGGTTAGGATCATTCAGGCAGATATAGACTCCATTACATTGCAGAGTGTGGTTACTGTTTCCATGCACAGCAGGTAAAGTACCTGACACAGCAATACTTGAGGTAGACGTTACTAGTCGCGTTAATCCTTTTCATCTGTAAGAGTCACTGGGCCACCAGCCAGGGGCATAACTAGAAATCACAGGGCCCCATAGCAAAAATTTGTAGAGGGCCCCCCAATCCGCACCCCCATCTGGTGCTTGAGCTACAGCATATATTATTATTATATAATACGAATAAATGCAGTTTGCACTAGATCACTGTCCATGAACGCAGGATACGTGCGTCCAGAGACAGTGATCTATTCAAAACTGCATTTAATCATATCACGCACATTACGTGCGGACTGCCGCTTACAGATATGGCCGCTGTCACCTGGTCATTAACTTCAGTGGGTACAGCAGCCACATCTAAGTGGGACACCTGACATTCCTGTCACAAGAATCTGTATGTTTCTGCTGCAGGAATGCCAGAACGTACTGTGTAACGAGGCCTAATTCTTTAACAGTGCCACCAATAAAGCTGGGAAATGGGATTTACAATTACACAAGGGGGGTTATAATTATAACTTAAAATACCACTGGGGTTTATCATTTGTAGCCCCACTTTCCCCGGCTTCACTGCTGTGGCAATGTTATTTAAAGTTATAATTACAGTGGCACACCACAGAAGGATTACACAGTGCAATATAACGCACTTTCCCTCATTTCTTTGGTGTGGCAGTCTAAATACAACTAAAAAAAAACAGTTACACCAGTGAAGCTGGGAAAAGTGGGGTTACAAAGTGGGTGCAGTGTTGGCAGTGTGGGTGCACAGTATGAGAAGTGTGGATGCAGAGTGGATGGGAGGTGTGGGTGCACAGAATTGATGGGCATTATGGGTGAATGCACAAAGTGGGTGGCGGTGTGGGTGGGTACACAGAGTGGGTGACAGTGTGGGTGGGTAGACAGAGTGGGTGACAGTGTGGGTGGGTACACAGAGTGGGTGGCAGTGTGGGTGGGTGAACAGAGTGGGTGGCAGTGTGGGTGGGTGCACAGAGTGGATGACAGTGTGTGTGTGTGTGCAAAGAGTGGGTGGCAGTGTGAGTGGGTGCACAGAGTGGGTGGCAGTGTGAGTGGGTGGCAGTGTGAGTAGGTGCACAGAGTGCGTGGAAGCGTAGGTGGGTGCACAGAGAGGGTGACAGTGGGCGGGTACACAGAGTGGGCAGTGTGGGTGCACAGCATCTCACCTTTCTTCCACCGGCCAATTCTAAGGTCTTGTTCACATCATATACAATGCGTTCCAGTGCGTTTAGCTGCTGGAACGCACTGTATGGCATAGCAAACTCCCCCCGATGTTCTGGTGCATGCACCATTTTTTCCCCCGGGCAGGGGGCCTGGCAGCGGTGCCATTGACTTCAATGCACTACCACACCCCTTCCCGCCCCAGCACGCACAGGTGAGTTTACTATGCGATACAGTACATTCCAGCAGCTAGCCGCACCGGAACGCACTGTATATGGTGTGAACAAAGCCGAAACTCTGCTTTCTCTATTCTACAACTTTAGGACCTGACTCCCCCCTGTCCCACCCCCCTCATTCAGTGGCCTTGGAGTGGGAAGGGCGATTTGCATATTAATGAGACACAGCATGATTTGCATATGCAAACCACAGCTCATTAATATGCAAATCCGGTAATTAGCATATGAATGAGCAGCGGCCAGTGTTAATGGCTCCTGCAGCTCTATGGATCTAAGGAGAACCGAGACTTCAGTCCCTGTCCCCCTCGACCCCCCTAACCTGTCAGCAGCCCCAGCAGCAGTGAAGATCACACACCTACTGCACTGCTTCTCCAGACGAACACAGGCAGGAGATAACTCCGCCCTCCCCGACTCTGCACGGTGACTGTGACAGGGGAGAGGATTGCAGGTGAGTGTCCTCAGGTTCCGTGCGGCGGTGCAGTGTTTGACTTGCGGCCACACAGAAATTAAGGACCCCTAAATCTCCCTCCTGCTCCCGACCGAGCCCCCTTCTGGCGCGGGCCCCATAGTTAGGTAGTTCCGCCCCTGCCTCCAGCCACAGGCTCCAGTGTAAGCACACAGCTAGTCCTCACACTTCAGGCCTAGCCATCTCAGGCAATCCATAGCAGTTTCCCCACAGGCAGGGCCCGGGGGGAGGAAGAGAGAGCTCACATTGGTCCACCCCAAGTATTTATCTCCTCTCCCAGCATGCACCACAGGCCATTAGCCTCACAGTTATTGGCTGGAGAGGGATACCTACTCATAGCAATCTCTCATTGGTTGCTCTGTTCTGTGACCAGGGTACACGCAGCAGCAGACAGATGCAAAGGATGACAGATTGTTTAGGGGAAACCAAATTAACATAAACCACAAATTAGCATCAGACTGCTTACAATCTGAAAATACTACATTTAATAGCACTCTTTCCTACAGGGTGCTACACAATCATTCTGCAACTCTGGCAAACTCTTGACAAATTCCTGTCTCAGAGTTATGATGTAACACCAGTTCACTATTTAACCATCAGCTGGTCCATTTATTAAATAATAAATCATAATTAATTAAAAAAATAACATTTAAAAATTGAATTTTTAAAACTTTTTTATTTTTCAGTCCTGTTATCCCGGATAACTGCAAACTCCTCACCTGTTTGGTGATTGTGAAAAAGCTCTTGTGAGTAAGGATCCAGTCATTTCTGTGAGCATGAAATAGGTTCTGAATTGTCTCTATCTGCAATTATTATTATTATGATGTCTGTTATGGAACTTATTATATTTAGATTCACTTTTGATACAATATTTTAGATTACCTCCAACCTTCCTGATAAAGCACAAACAGTTGTGAAACGTGTCGAAGATTGGGCCCACAGTGGATTATATGATAAATGACCAAAAAATATATTTAAAGGACAATTAAGGAGAAACAGATATACGAGTATAACGTATACGCATATGTGGGTACCATAAGGAGGTCGTTTGGTTTTAATGTGCTATTGTAACATTTTGATGTAACCAAGTTTCTAAATCATGTTATTTTTAATCAATACATTTTTATGCAAGATTACGTGTGTCTGATGGACATGATGTATGGTTTGGACACTTTAAAAACCCAATGTTTCTTTCTTGTGTTTTAGATATCATCTGGTCCATTTAGTCTCTATCCTTGCGTGGGTCAATATCTACAAAGTGCTCTGCTGTTGTCTCTGTTCTCTTTGTTTGACCCTGGCTCTGGCTGACTGATCTCCTGGTTCCTGACTCCAGTTGTGGTTTCCTTTCATTCTTCTCTCAGTGTTCGCTGACCTGGTTCGGCTGACTACCCACTTTGGCATCTGACCTCTGGCTTGGCATTGACAATGTCCTGGATTTCCTGTATTGTTTTTTGCTATTTTTGTTCATTGTTATTTTCAGTAAGCTCCTTTTATTTTTAACCTTTACTCTAGTTTCTGTCTGGTTCCCTAACAAGCTTACAATATAAAAAATAACTAATGAACAACCAAGGGAAACCCCCTTAATGTGTTTTTTTCATACAACTTATGATTTTTGTAATGTCTATAAGTCTACAATAAGTATACACTGGAATGACTGCTTAGAAAGACAGTCCCAGAACCCTGCTGCTCGGCATCTCCATGCGACATAAATAGTAACGGACACTGTTTTAGGTTTAGTGCTCATTTGAAGAGAATCTGTCCAACGCAAGAAACGTATGTGAGAAACCTTTGCACATGATGCACACCTTCTTTAACTGTATAAATCCATCTTTTTATTCTCCGTCATATGCTGAATTTCCTCTTCTTTCCACTGATATACCTATAATGATATTGTACTCTGAGGTCTAATACCATATTAGATCAAAACTATTCTGTAGCCAGGGTTCTATCACTTCCCAGCTTACAGTGTAAAGTGGAGGGCTATGTGCTCCCCTTCTTTTTACCCAGGCCAGGAGATGGGGAACAGTGAAGTTTGTATGTCCCAGAATGCACCTGTTACATGACATGACTTCTGCTGGACAATACGATACAAGTTTTTCACCTTCTTGTACCAGCCAGGAAACACTGCATCTATTTCGAGAAAGAAGGTTCACTCTAATCACGTTAATTTGACTTCTCTCTAATTCCCTGCAGCAGCCATTGAATGGGATGTTGAATGGCAAGGCACTTCCTAAAGTGTGTGCTCTATACCTTCTCCTTTGTCTGCTTAATGTATTACCAATAACATTCAAGCTGCCAAGGCAGGTTTGAATCTGGTAGCTCTAAGAAAACTCTCAATGCAGACACTTCACATCAGGCTTTCTGTATGAGGAAAATAAGCAAGCAGCCTGCAGAGGATGTGTCTTGTAATAACTTTCCTGCATCAAGAAATGGGGTTCTTAGATCATGAGATTATGAGAATGGGTGCATCACAGCAATGCCTAGATTAAAAAATAGTAAAGTACTAAAGTATGTTTCCTGACGCCAATCCATGGCAGCATACAATGGGTATGGCTAAGGTGCCTTTCGTGTGAGTATTTTGCTGTCACCAGTGGTTCCCCAGCGTTGTTAGTGTTTAAAATGTAACTTATGGAATTGGTGCTTCATTTCAGGCCTATTCTGCCTGTTATTCAGTAATCTTTTTCATGGTCTGTATAGAGCATTGTGTTAGTGACAAGAGCCTGTTGTGCTATAACCATGAGCACATAAGTATGTGGCTTCTAGGTTTTAAGCATGGCTGTTAGTGTCTAGCAGGTTCTGACAGGTGCTGTTTAATCACATCATTATGTTCAGTTTCTCTGTGATAGCAAAGGTTGGATCATATGTTCAATTACCAAATGGCATGACCTCCTTCCCCAAGAGACCAGCTACATTCTATAAGGTGAGGGTCAGGTATGTATGAAGATAAAAGTGAGTGTGCAAATGCATGGGCCTAATGAATTGTAAATCTTTTCAGGCCTATTGGCAGCACTGTTCCTCAGAGTGCATATGCAGGGGTTAATGGATTGTAACTCTCTCCAGCCCTTTGCCATCACTGCTTCTCAGAGTGAACTTCTGGATTGTCTCCAGTACTGCTTCCCAAAGACAGGAAGATGCTCAATTTGGGATGAAAAGTCCTCTTCAAGCTGTGATAAAGCTGCTACACATGCAAGATCCTGCTATTGGAATGCAGCTAGCGGATTGGATCACAAGGATGGTACAACCTTTAAGCAGCGCTTGGCCTGCAATCACCTGGCAGGATGCTGTGCCGGGTTCCCCCTGCAGGGGGCAGCAGGGAATAAAGAGGCAGAAAGGTACAGGTCTGAAGCCTTAAACAGAGTGATATACTTCATGAACTGTCACTAGCCCAGTCAAGCAGCTGCATCCACAAGTTCCCCCTCTAACCCTATGGCTGTCAGCTATAGAGTTTTGCCCTGGCGCACCCATAGGCCAGTAAGGGCACTTACTTGCCAGGGCAGTCTACACTTGGCGTAAGAACACACGCGGACCTTTTGGTTGGCAATAAGGGGCATGGTAGTTCCTGAATGAATTTACATCAGCAGTGACAATGGCTTTCGCATTGAGTACTTGTTACGAGAATGGTGGCCTTGGGAGGCGGGCTTTAATTTATAGTATAACTGGTCCTGTGATTGGCTGGGGGGCGGAGCCATACCCATTGTATGCTGCCATGTATTGGCGTCAGGAAAGGAAAATTACCGATAGGTAAGTATACAATTTTCCGTATTTTCGCCTAGTGAAAAAAAGCTGTCTATAAATTGGCACAAATATCACAAGAAAAAAATTTGCTTTTAAATAAAGCCGATGGAGGCCCCAAGTAATTCTGACTGTGCTAAGGGACCATCATCACAGCCCAGATTTAACCTCAAGGTTTCCAGGTATAACATTGGGCTGTACCTGTATGTCCTCAATAATTCTAGCACTCTAAATTTACAGAAGAGTGGTAAAATGACTGTAAATTAAGCACATATTACAATTCTGTGAAAACAATGCTTTCAACATCAAATAGTTACCATCATTCCATTATATCTCAGCTCATTTTGAATATATTGCTGAATGTCTTCTTGAGATATTTTGCTCTTCACAAATGTACACCTTTAAAAAAAAAAATGTGGATTTATTAGTTGTAGACATTGTGTATTCAATTTGAATTTCTGACTCCATTTTTTAAATAACCCAGTGACAACAAAATTAAAGTGATGCTAAACTCTGGATTTAAATCTTAAAAATGCAATCAAGTACCTGAACTATTACTAAAAATTTATCTTGTTTGTGCATCACTCAGCTGTAGATCCTCAAATCATTTCTGAATTGGCGCTGGTCCTTCCCTACTGGAGAGTGGCTCCTTCTGTTCCCCATGGTCCCTGTGTTGTAAAGTAGCCACCACTCCAAGCTCGCTCCCGTGATGGACTATGATGTCATGATTATTTGAATCATTTGTATTGATGGATGGTAGTCCATCATGGGAGCGAGCTTGGAGCAGTGGCTACTTTACAACATACACAGGGACAATGGGGAACAAAAGTAGCCACCCTCTAGAAGAAAGGACAGTGTCAGCACCAATACAGAGATAATTGGAGGATCTACACCCGAGTGATGCACAAATAAGATACCTTTTTGGTTATAGTTATGGTACTTGAATGCATTTTTAAGATTTAACTTCTAGGTTTACTGTCACTTAAATTTAAACTGCATAAACTCACTCAGGAAACCACTTTGCATGTTCTTTCCAGGGCTCATCGTCGTCTTCCCAAATTTCTAAGCAACCTCCACAAGAGAAGCACTGGACCATGTCTCTTATTCCTGAAATAGAGGGGAGTATCAGCTTATACCATTTTGTTTTCAAGCAATACAAAAGCGCAGAAAGAAATACTTTGTAAGACATGTATTGTTAAGCAAATTAGGTTGTCTTGTACTGAACAATTAACTGCACATCAGAGACTGACTTGTTATATGTTATTATCGCTGCCCACCTCCATACTTTTTGTATGAGTTGATCTAAAGCTTTAACTGTCACTCACAAACCATCTTGATCAGTGAGCTGTTTCTGATCCCAAACTCTCAGGTTTTAAGGCAAAAGAAATGCTTTTTGA